GAAAGTACAGAATTTCAGGCACAATCAACATCGTTTTGCACCTATTAAACAGATATAAAATTAAAAAAATTTAGTTTGGCTGGGAGCAATGATTGTAATATGATTTCGGCACTTCTGGTCTGTTACTGGCCAGTGAAACAACCGATCAGACTGAACTGTGTCTGATTGGCTGCAAGAGGACCGGTCACAGCCCATGCTATCTTGATGGATGTTGTTCATCCCTTGTGATAGCAATAAAGTTGCTACAAAATAAAAATTGAAGGGACAATGCAAAAAAAAAAAAAAAAAGCTTTACACAAAATAAACAAAAATTTAAAGTGCCCCCATCCCCCTGTGAAAATGTTAACACATATGTAAGGCGTACATACATATGTAAATGGTGATTGCACCAGACATGAGGTATCGGCATCAACATCAATATTTCTAGCACCAAACCTCCTGTGTAACTTAAAAGTGTTGCCTATGGAGATTTTTAGGTATCTTTGGTGCAGTTCCACAGGTGTACGCAATTTTAAAGCCTGAGATGTTAAGTATCATTTTACTCGCCGTAACAAAATCTTTTTTATTTTTACCAAAAAATGGCTATTATACTGTGTTTGTGTTCACTAAAACTCACTAAAGTGTATTTTTCCCAATAAAAATTCCATTTAAAAAACCACTGCGCAAGTGCTGTGTGACATAAAAATATGCAACACCCACCATTTTATTTTCTAAGACCTCTGCCTAAAAATATACAATGTTTGGGGGTTCTAGATAATTTTCTATTAATAAAAAAAAAAAATGCTGATTTTTATTGTATGTGAGAAGTGTCAGAATTGCCATGGTAGGCAAGTATTTAGGAAGAACCCTTTGGGTTTGTTATGGATTTTAGGGGGACCCTCATGCACAAATTGAGGGAAAAAGTGTGAGCACCCCCAAAATCTATACCAGACCCTTATCTGAGCAAGCAGCCTGAGAGGCCAGGGAAGGGGGGAGGGGAACAAGGATTTTTCTTTTTTTTTTTACAATCTCAGTTCAATTGTTTGCATGGCCATAGATTTCCAAGCATGTAAGTCAATGAGGATGGTGTGTCCCTTTAACATTGTATAAACTACCAGAGAAAATAAATGTAAAATGGAATTTATGCTGTATATCCTTTTTTTGTGGTTTTCAGAAAAATGATTAAACCAGCATCTGTAAGAAGAGTCTATTAGGCATTATAATGGGGTGAGGAGGAAAGGAGAAGCTTTGATGTAGCGCTGTGCTTGTTCTTCTCATGGAAAGGCGATGGAGGTAGAGCGAGGTGAAATATTCCTGCTGATTTAGTAAAATCTCCTCAGACTTATAATGCTTAGCTCGTACAAAGCACTGATGTCTGAAATGTAATTCTGTCAATACTTAGAAAAATCTAACATGTATTATATGGCTTACACCATCAATCATCTGACAGCCAAATGCAATAGAAGGGATCCTAAGTCATTCTGTTGCCTTTATGCTCCTTGAATGATACAGCTATAGGAGTTCAGAGTCCATTTTTTGATGTATGTAATGACTCCTGGGAACGTTTCTGCTCTGATCGGGCATGGGAAGCTGGGGTGTATGGGGATTGGACGGGTGTGGATGAGCCTTTTTGGGTCATCAGTGGTAGGAGCAAGATGGTCCTGTGGTTTTGAGTTCCAAGATATCACCATAGAACCACTTTAGCAAAGACAGGGATAGTTGCATTTTTATGGCTTAAAGTGGACATAAGGTTTTAAAAAAATGCTAGAGGGTTGAGTTTTTGGTACACTTTGTAGGTCTATTCCACCAAAAAACTCCATCCCCTTGGTATAAGAATAGTTTGTGCACATACAGCACAGCGTACACTCTTGGTCTACTCTCATAATCTGTAAGGCCCTAGGCATACTGGGCATTTAGCCTGGAGCTTGAGGCTCTGACATTTAGGTGTAGGTGGAAGGCACTGGAGCACCATCAAGCCCCGCTGCCAATAACCTCTAGAACTCTATGGTAGGCAAACAGCTGCTGCATCTGGACAGGGGTGGACATTTAGGGAAGTATGGGCCCAGGGAAAAATGCTGGAAACGCAGATTAGTACCACCATTGTTGAGCTATACTTAGAGCATCAGTTGCCCTTAATTTGGCCCTACATGGAATTCTACGGTTCATCCAGAGGTTGTGAGGGGTTACTTGAGTGTTGGCTGATTGACCTCCCATCTAATGTTACCTCCATAGTTTGATCAATGGCTAAGCCAGTAGCATGACACTAACTCTAGTTGTCTGTAAAGCAGCCCATAGATTGTACAGTTTTTCTTTCCTTCCACCATGGGCAGAAGCAGGGCCAGATCTAGCCTGTCCGATGTGGGGGGTGTAGTAAAAAATGTCAGGGGGGCAGAGGATCATAAGGGCAGTGGACAGGGGTCACTGCTGGCAGGGCAGAGGACAGGGGAACAGCTTCTTCTCCCATCCCTGCACTGCACACAGCCTGGGCACAGGCAGCAGAGATCCTCCTCCCCATTATCAAGGTCCTACCTTTCCTCAGGGCTTGTGTTGCTCCATGTGCTGGCATCCATCTTAGGTCTGCAAAGCATTGTGGGATTCTTTATACTTTCAGCCCTCTGCGGCTCCTCCCAGGAGGTGGCGGCTTATCACATTTAAGTCTGCTGTTTGCAGCTGTCCATTGCATTCATGTCCTGTCTGTTGCACAGCAGAAAGCTCCTGTTCGGTTAACTCTTTGCTCTCCTGGATACCGACTCGGCTTTGGCTAAGACTCCTCCTGGCTTCTGACCCTGGCTGTGGTGACCATTCTTCCTGGCTTCTTACCCCGGCTCTGGCGACCATTCTTTCTGGCTTCTGACCCCGGCTTTGGCTATGATTCCCGCTGGTTCTCAACTTAATTATCCTGGAAGATGACCTCGGCAGGAGAACTTCTGTCCTACCAAGTCATCCACTGTTGCTGTCGGACTTGCATAGACTTTGCCTTGTTTCTGTGTAAATAAACCTACCTTTAATCGCACCTCCTTGTGTGTCTGGCTCCTCGATCTCTGACACCCACACAACATTGAGATCAATATAGTGTCAGTCAAGGACAGTATAGGGTCAGGCTAGGGCAGTATAGGGTCAGGCTAGGGCAGTATAGTGTCAGTCAAGGACAGTATAGTGTCAGTCAAGGACAATATAGTATCAGGCTAGGGCAGTATAGGGTCAAACTATGGCCGGAAAGTATCAGATTAGGGTGGTATGGTGTCAGATTAGGGTAGCATAGTGGCAGGTTAGGGCAGTATAGTGGAAGGTTAGCATTGGCTTTGGGGGGCACAACTATTATCTGGGGAAGCATAGCCCACCCCCTAGATCCGGCTATGGGTGGAAGGAAAGAAAATTGCTTGATTCCCCCATCAACACAGTCAGTGTTGATGGATGAATCCCTCGTGCAGCCTTATTGTGTTCTGCTGGAGGGGAGCCTTCCTCAGCGGCAGAACACAATGATGATTGTTGGTGGCAATAGCCACCCATGGTAAAAAAAATCCGACAGGTTGGTTGTGCTGAAGTCAATCGGTAGATAGACTTCAGTACAATCAGCCTGCCCATGGATGGATCGAAATGTGTTTCCTGCTGAACCAAATTTCAATCTGTCTATAGCCGACTTTAGTTTGTCATTCTGACCACCACTGTAAGAGGGGGTTTCTTCCCACTGACCATCAATGTAAGGGCTATTTTTGCCAATGACCCCCAATGAATTAGTTTTCATATGGGGATTTCCTCAAGACCTTGACATTATTTTAGGAGTTCTTCTGTGGTAAAAAGGTCAAGAAAGGCTGCACTACTGCCACAGCTGTCATCATTTAAAGTGGTTGTAAACCCTTATATATACTCAGGGAAGTGACTAGCCTCAGGTGATACACAGAAATGAAACAAATCCTCCTACAAGTTGTACCTGTTTATCTGTAGCCCTCTCTCTTCTACAGCCTTCTAAAGCACACATTTTACACAGCATTTCTGAGCTCCAGAAGGCAGGGGGCAGGGATCTGATGTCACACACTGCACAGCATAGGGCATGGAGCTGAATGTATTCTGAGACCTGAGTTGAGGGAAAGGACACACTCTCATAGGAAAACATGCACAGCTGAGGCTGTCAATCGCTTGCTGCGTGTTGGAGAGGAGATGGCATCCCCTGGGACTCTGTGGTGTCGGCATAACCTGTCAGATGTGACTCATGTAGATAGCAGAGGGAAGACAGAGCAGGTAGGAACCACACTAGGTGCTTTGGATTTAGGCTAGTATACACAATATCAGTATATGCTTTGTTCATTTTTTATTTCAGAGGTTTACAGCCACTTTAAATGAGCCACAGCAGCTTCGTATTGCTATCCTCAGAGGTTTATTTTGGGAGTACTTTTGTTCTACAGCTGTAACTGGAAGAAGAAATCAGGAGCTCAGACAGGAAGCCTGTGCTACCTTTATACACGGACTAGATTTTCAGTCTTCGCTGGGCTATGCTATCATGCTGAGTCTCCATATTCTCCACAGAGGCATTTGTTCACAAAGTACACCTACTATTAATTATACATTGTTATACTATAGTAATTAATTTAACTGGCTTTTGGCATGTTATGTTTTCCAGCAACTAATTAAAACTTACTTGGACTGCTTGTGCTGGCACAATGTAAGGAGCCGGAGGCTGCAGGCACCAGCAGCGTGGATGGTAAATTAAATACATATGTATCCCAGGGATGCTGAATCAAACTGCAATAAGGATGCTGAAAGCAGAGGCTCTGGAGAATAAAATGGTGGCAGTTGCAGTCTTTTTTTTTTTTTTTGCATAACTTTTCAGGACTGATTAACTTTAATATTAAAAACTCATTATATAATCTCCATTTTTCTGTAAAATATAAAAGATGGGGTTTTGGGTAAATGGTTACCAAAAGAGTTCGAGGATACCAGATATAGTGAATGCAGGGTCCGGGGAGAGCAGATATAGTGAATGCAGGGTCCGGGGAGAGCGGATAGAGTGAATGCAGGGTCCAGGGAGACCAGATATAGTGAATGCAGGGTCGGGGAGACCGGATATAGTGAATGCAGGGTCCGGGGTGACCAGATAGAGTGAATGCAGGGTCCGGGGAGACCAGATATAGTGAATGCAGGGTCCGGGGAGAGCAGATATAGTGAATGCAGGGTCCGGGGAGAGCGGATAGAGTGAATGCAGGGTCCTGGAGAGCAGATATAGTGAATGCAGGGTCCGGGGAGACCGGATATAGTGAATGCAGGGTCCGGGGTGACCAGATAGAGTGAATGCAGGGTCCGGGGAGAGAGCAGATATAGTGAATGCAGGGTCCAGGGAGACCAGATATAGTGAATGCAGGGTCCGTGGAGACCGGATATAGTGAATGCAGGGTTCTGGGAGACCAGATATAGTGAATGCAGGGTCCTGGGAGACCGGATATAGTTAATGCAGGGTCTGGGGAGACCAGATATAGTGAATGCAGGGTCCGGGGAGACAGGATATAGGAAATGCAGGGTCCGGGGAGACCAGATATAGTGAATGCAGGGTCTGGGGAGACCGGATATAGTGAATGCAGGGTCCTGGGAGACCGGATATAGTGAATGCAGGGTCCTGGGAGACCGGATATAGTGAATGCAGGGTCTGGGGAGACCGGATGTAGTGAATGCAGGGTCCTGGAAGACCGGATATAGTGAATGCAGGGTCTGGGGAGACCGGATATAGTGAATGCAGGGTCCTGGGAGACTGGATATAGTGAATGCAGGGTCCGGGGAGACTGGATATAGTGAATGCAGGGTCCTGGGAGACCGGATATAGTGAATGCAGGGTCCGGGGAGACCGGATATATAGTGAATGCAGGGTCCTGGGAGACCAAATATAGTGAATGCAGGGTCCAGGGACACCGGATATAGTGAATGCAGGGTCCGGGGAGACCAGATATAATGAATGCAGGGTCCGGGGAGACCAGATATAGTGAATGCAGGGTCCGGGGAGACCAGATATAATGAATGCGGGGTCTGGGGAGACCAGATATAGGAAATGCAGGGTCTGGGGAGACCGGATATAGTGAATGCAGGGTCCGGGGAGACCAGATATAGTGAATGCAGGGTCCTTGTTGACCAGATATAGTGAATGCAGGGTCCTGGGAGACCGGATATAGTTAATGCAGGGTCCGGGGAGACCAGATATAATGAATGCAGGGTCCGGGGAGACAGGATATAGGAAATGCAGGGTCCAGGGAGACCAGATATAATGAATGCAGGGTCCGGGGAGACCAGATAAGTGAATGCGGGGTCCTGGGAGAGCAGATATAGTGAATGCAGGATCCTGGGATGACTAGATATAGTGAATGCAGGGTCCTAGGAGACCAGATATAGTGAATGCAGGGTCCAGGGAGACCAGATATAGTGAATGCAGGGTCCGGGGAGACCAGATATAATGAATTCAGGGTCCGGGGAGACCAGATATAATGAATGCAGGGTCCGGGGAGACCAGATATAGTGAATGCAGGGTCCGGGGAGACCAGATATAGTGAATGCAGGGTCCAGGGTTTAGTAACACTTTAAGGTTAGTATTGCAGCCAAAGCTGTTTTTTTTCTTACAACACCTAGGGATATATTATATAATATTATTATATAAATAAAATATTATCAGGACCCTTATTTTACCATCCCTGTTGACCCAATGCATTTTGCCAAAACACGAAAACCTCTCAATTTTGTTCATCCTTAGTAAAGACAACAGTCATAGCCGAGGGGTCAAGATCCATTTCACACCTCTCTGCCCACTTATAGTAATAATAATGGATATTGAAGGGATACATACATTTTGTCCTTCTGTAGAACAATGCACTGACGCTATTGGCGCTCTGACAACGCTCTCCAGGCCAAGTGGAATAACAAAATGCAACCTGTGCTATAATTTCCTTCCGCCTGCCTGATTCTTACATAAAATTACATAACCCTCAGCAGAAGGAAACTGGAGCAGCCAAGACAGATTACAAATTGTGGTCCGCATATGACATAACAGAACAATAGACACTTCCAGACCTGGTGTGAGCAGAAGGATCCTGACGCCTTCAATGCTTCCCAGGGGGACCCCGAGCTGATTTACCATCCCAAAAATAAACTTCAATTCGCTACTACGGCAAAATCAATGCGGTCATATACACAGCAATCAATAGAGGCAGAGTGACATTGAGATGGCCATAGGAAGGCTCTCTCTTCGGGAGAAGAAAGTCAGCTGAGATGTGCATAACTGAGCCCAAACCCGAGACCTGAATACATCACATCATTGAACAAGGGTGCTTGTTTAAACACAGCCTCAGCACAGGGATAAAGAGAACCAGTCACTGCTGAGCTCAGACAAGACTTTGGATCCTCAGCCTTACATTCTTATAATTGTCAGGTGTATTGATTCATTTACTTTTTTCTCTAGCTTGACTCTTGCTTGAGTTGGAAAAATCAGAGATCTGATAGCTGCTGAGTTGACATTTGACTGCTGATATTTCATGCTGCTCCCGGCTCCTGAGTTTGCATAACTGTGCAAACTCAGGAGCATGTGCCGAATTACCAAATAGGCAGAGTAGGCACCGGCCTATGGACCCCATGTTATTTAATGGCCCCTCGGATCATAATAATATTGATCTGATCTTGAAAGAAACTTACGATAAAGCTTTCTGGAATTGTCTACAAAAAATTTTGGTGTGTAAAATATACCATTGAAAGTGTTTTAGTACATCTATTCCTTAAGTTTGGTCCTACCAGAAACCCTGCGAGTGCCTAGCTTCCTCTGTTCCCTGTTTGTGCTGACTGTTATCAGATACATAGCTCCCGAAGCTTGGTCTGCAGATTTGGCAGGGAAGGAGTAACACCTGGCTTCCAGTTTCCTGTGTACAGTGCTGCTCTTGCTCATGTCTGGGGATAGGATTTTTGTGTCTGATCAGTGACAAAGACAAGCACCGCTGCAGGACAGCAGCCAGTGTTACCCACCCTCCATCCACTAGGGGGTGAACTGGGGATGCAGACTGCCAGAGAATCTGGAGAGAATCATGGAGGATTGTGGGAGGTGTAGTTTTCTACAGACTGAGTTAGCTTCAGACTTTAGAGGACTTCAACTCCCAGAGGCCCTGGGGTACAGAGGAGGAGGAGTGTTGTAACTTTCCTGGCTGAGCAGAGGAAGAGGGGATGATTTGTAGAGGCTGCGAGAAGATCGCCACACCTGAGTGAAAGAGAGATACAATTTCAGCCACTCTGGAACTTTGGAGGACACCCTGGGCACTGACTGGGGTACACGTTGCTTGTGAGCAGAAGTATATTTCCCCATGCTGACACAGAGTGGTGAGAGGTCGTTAGCCAACCCTGCACTACACCTTGATAAAAGAGTGACAGAGTTGTCTGCAAGAATTACAGTGACAGTGTCTGCATCAGTTCTTGAAGAGACATTACCTTGAGCACTCCACCGTGGCAGTTGGGCCCCAACAGGCTGGTCATTGGAAGAAATAAGGTAGAATATTACTGACTGCTGAACTGTTATTGTGGAGGCATATACTGTATACCGTATATAGTGTATAATCCTATTGCTTTATTGTTGCAGTATATTTTTCTTACTGTTTAACCAGTGCAGCACATTTCCCCTACAATTTATTCATTACAGTATATTTTTTTCTTTGTATACCTCGTTGAAAAATACTTTTTTTGCTGTTACTTAGCCAGTTGCTGTGTCGTTCCTGGTGTCCATGAACCTTGAAGCTTTGGGGTGCATATGTATATATCTGCAATAAGCATTCCCCTCCCAGCCAGGTGTGGAGCTGTTCATAGAGTCATGGGCACAACATGGGACCCAACATCTCCAGCAGCTCCTCGGGGATAAGCTCTACACTCCCTTTGTTCCCATTTACTGTATATTGCTGGACTACATGACATCTCACATCTATGTTGTGGAGAAGAGAGGGGGAGATGTTCCCTACTCTGTGTCCTAGTGTGACACCACTGCTCCTCCTCAATAGAGTGAGTGTTGTCACCTTCTCATAGTAAGTGTGTTACTGGTAGGATCACCAAGCACAAATAAAGGAAAAAAGCCTGAAAAAATAAAATGAATGCAGCCACCACATCTAAGGACTGGTAAGCTGTTATATGTTTTTTAGCCTCATCCTGATGGCTGTGCGCATATATGTGGCCACTTAGTGATTGGGCTTTAATGCGGGGAAGCCACATATATGCAGCCCTATGTAAGCATCTTTATGTGCTGAGAGCGTGCGCCCTGCGCATTACCAGCACACATACCAGTAGGTTCCAGAAAGCTCCTAATGCAGACTTTAGATCAGGAGCATTCCGATCATGTGACTGCTGTGACATCCAATGACAGCGGTCACATGATTGGAATGCCTGCCCGCGCCTCCCAGCATTTAGAACCTCTTAAAGGGCTGGGAGGCAGTGGAAGGGGTTAAAAATATTTTCAGAAGTCACCATGTAAAAGTAGCGGTGACATTGTTACTGTGCTGCACATAGCCTGTGCAGGGAGCACAGCTGTAGGAGGGACCCAGAAAGCTCCACCCACTACAGACTGACTGTAGAAAACGACAGGAGGGGGCGGAGACAAGACCAGTCATCCTGCACAGGTAGAGAGAGCAGCAGTGAGCGGTCTTTGTTACAGGAGCTCCTGCACAGAGGGAAAGTCTCACACTGGATTACTACACAGATCTGGAAGAAATACACAAAGCACACCGAGATTTATGGAGGGTACACATGATGAATGGATTTAGACCATATTTCCTGGAGTTCAGCTTTAAGCAAAAAGGCGACTTGCATTTGTTAAAAAAAAAGTCAGCAGTTGTTGTTGATAGTACACAGTCCTCGGGTCAATCATCATAATCAATAAAAAAAGCAACCTCTTCCTCTGCCAATGTTTAGAGAACCTGCTGCCAAATGTGAGCCCTTCGGAATATAAACCACTCACTGCTGTAGAAATCAATTAAGCAAAACTCTGCTTCAGTCTTTAAAAAATAAACCATTTTTTTCTCCGTTGGGAGGCCATTTTGTCTTAGGATGGCCATATACATTTCGATAAATGATTGATTTATTTCTTTTCCGATCGATCTCTTCTGATATAATCAGTCTATAATCAACAATCCATTCAAATGATATGCTACACATGGGGAAGTTGATTTTGATCAATAGTTAAAATATGATTGTTATTTATTGATTGCATCAGTGTTTCCACAATGTCACATGATCGATTCTTCTCAGTGCTGCCAATACAATCAGTCAAGTTATCAATCGCATCTCTCTTTCTGCTATGTAATCTCATAATCTGATCGAATACAATCATATTCATTTCAATGCTGCTCAATTTTTCTGTCTTGGCTGACTGTCTAAGGTTGATCAACTCTTATTTAATTTGAGTCCAAATTGATTGGAAGGGAAGCAGTGTGTAGGCAGGTGCAGTCTGCTTTCTCCACTGTAGATGGCGCTGAACTGGAGCAGGCACTGCAGCTAGAAAGGAAGTCAGGAGAAACCTGATGAGGCAGCATTCTGGTTGGCTACGCTGTACCCAGGTGACATCTGCAGCCATCTTTGGTCAGCAGAGTCCTTTTTAAAGCGGAGCTACACCTGAAAAAAAAATAAAAGTCAGCAGCTACAAAAACTGTAGCTGAGGACTTTTAAAATACAGCCAATCACCCGTCCCTTGCGGCCAGCTGTGTCCTCACCACCGCTGGTTTCACCGGCCATCTTCTCTCCCTGATGTTGGCATCTTCACTGTCGGTACCCCCGGCTGTGACAGCTTGCGGCTTCACAGCTGGGTGCCCACTGCGCATGCGCGAAGAAGCGCTGTGCT